GTTCTTGAAGTGTAAGGTCTTTGTTTCGACCTCTTTGTTATGTACTTTCTTTCCAGTGCCCAGGAAGAATTTGGAGAGGTCAAGAGAAAAAGATGCTCCGGGCTCGCCATTCTCTCTCGATGATATTCTTTCCTGAGACTGGTTTATGTCACAAGCAGAGAAGGGTGAAGTCATTATTTTAAACACAGCATGTAAGATTTTCTCGTAGTGTTTGTTAATACATCCTTCGCTTGTCCACAGCCTAGTCGCAGAGGCCAGGAACATAACAACCACTTCAGGGAACGTGCGGAGACGGATTGACTTCCTCTGCTGGCCCCTTCCGCATCTGCTCGGGACTGTCAGGCCCTTCGCGATCGAGCTGATTGCGTTCGCTGGGAGGGCTGACATCCTGGAGCACATGAGGCGTGGGTACCCGAAGCTCCACGCCGCTGAAGTGGACGGACGAGTCGAGACGTGCCACACCGTGGTCGTCCACGTGTCAGCGGACTGGGCTGCCAAGAGGGGCGCCACAGACTACTTTGGGCCACCCGAGGGTGTCGAGGACGTGCACGTCGTGCAAGTTCTTTTCAAAGAAAATGGGGCGAAGGCACGGATTGCATTCGAGGATAGGGAAAGGGATAGGGAAATTCCAGTAGCGGGGTTGCGCAAGGAGGCCAAAATGGTTCTTTCGAAGCTGACGACCCCTCCCAGCTCCACTCCAGGCACCCGACGGCCCTCTCTTCCCCAGCCCCGTTAAAAGAAGACAATCAATCAGATAGACGGCAAGCTGGTCGTTCAAAAGGTTCTGGTTCCGCTTGGAGAATGCTGATTGACATCAAGTGCAGCGGTCTGACATGTGCTCTCGCTTTGACAGTTTGTGATTTGACTGCTGATATACGTTACATGCCGGAATATATCCCAGATTTGCCGCGAGTCAGAATTCTGTATGCAAGTGACAGGAAGGGTTCGGTTTCTTGTTTGGAATATATGTGCAGTCAAATGTGGTTGACAACCTTTATTGACAGAGTTTAAGGCCAACGTACGACTGCCCATGGGCGGCTCCTCCGCTATTCATGCATGTGATTTTAGTGCCTGTTGTTGCATATCCCAATACTTAGTTTGAAGTATGCACTCCGTTTAAATGATATAATCGCAAACACTGGTGATGCAAGTAAATATGTAGTGGTATCATACTTAGAATACCCTTGCTCACGGCTATAGTCGTCAGATTGTTTAGACTATTAGTAGGTACTTCTGTTCGACTCCCGGGTTAACGACCTCACTGTCAGTGTGACATGATTGTATAGCGTTGACATGCTTCATGGTGCCTGGCTCAGCTGGGTTTAGAGAGAGATCCTCAGATAGGATCGCGACATCACCAAACATACCAAACATTATGCGCTATAATTGATAGGGCACAATTGTCCAAGGTGTTTGAGCTATCAACAGCGCAAATCCGTCCAAGCTGTCCAAGGTTTCGGAACAAGTCGTCTCAACCCCCAAATCAATGACGTTGTCAACCATACCGGCCAATTATTCGCGCTACAATTGAGAGCGCGAACCTGTCCAATTAAAGTGACCAGGCTGTAAGTTCAATGCTATGGGGACCTGTCATTTCGACCCCCAGTGGATGACAGTGGCATCAATATACCAAACATCATGCGCTACAAACCTCTTCAAGGTAGTCAAGCTTTCCAAGCTTATGGAAGCACACTTCTCGCCCCTCAATCCAATGACATGATCCCCCATACTATCTTTAATGTGCTGTTATTGATAGCACACACTTGCAAGCTGTTGATAGTGCATACGAATCTAGAGTGTCCAAGCAATTCGAGGGTTCGGGGAACAGTCGTCTTGACCTCCAAATCGATGACGTCATCAACCCTACCAAGCATTACGCGTTCAAATTGATAGTGCAAACATGTCCAACACACAAGGTGTCCATGCAACCGTTTGACATGGGGTCGAAAGAAGGCTCCTCTGGATGACGTCAGCGGCCAACTTCAGCAGTAAAACACTCAGAGCCCGCCATGGCGCTCTCTCCTCGGCGAACCGGCCATGATGGTCCCAAGCCCGACCGTGACCCTTACCCGCGCTGACGCAGACCGTTCCGGTCCCCAGCTGCCGTAACGCGAGTCTACCGGGCACCCGGAGGTCAGCCCCTCGAGCGTAGCATATGCGCGCACAAGGGGCAGGACCTGTCGTAAGGGCACCATTACCACTCCGGACCGGACCGTTCCCTCGAACCTGAGACGGAAGCTGCCCCTTCTAGTCTCTAGCTTGACAGCTGCCAGCATGCCCGCAGGAAAGTGCTGCAAGCACCAAGCGCCAAGTGGTTTAGGCATGGGGTAAGTGATTGCGTCATGGCAGTTTTCCATACTCGGGAGTTGAAATCTAACAAAAGCATGTCTCCGGAGGTGCTTGAGCTTTTGGAGCCAACCAATCTTTGGGACCAACCAATCTGCTTTGCTGTGCTTCAGAATTTGGAAGCTGTGGGTCTGCTCTGAATTGGTTTGTGCTTCAGTTGCTGTGGGCAAATTGAGTCTCTCTTATGTGTGATTGCAGCTGTGATTAGCAGAGGTAATGCATGATAAGTAATGGCAAGAAGCCCGCTTTGTGGCAGGTCCAAGTCTGATCAAAGGGTCTGCCAGGCTGCTCGCTTTGCACGCGCTGCAGAGTACAGGGAGCGCATCTCAATTAGTGTAGAAAGGCAAGAAATTCTGATTGCTGCTGTCAAAGCGAAGCAATGACACACCTGTCCTTCGCCGTCGGTGCTGCCAAAGGGCAAAGGGATTGAAGCATGAGGGGCAAATTGCTCTCAAAGTTTCAGCACGCGGGCGCTTCAGCGCTGCTGATCAGAAAGCCAAGCGGCAGGACGTGCGGGTGCTCAAAGAAGCTGTGAATTGTGCTGTGGAACGCGGTAAGTTTGCTTCTTCAAAAGCTAACTCTTAAGGTCAGGGGATCACAGGCCCTGGGATTATACCATTGTTTCAGGAACAGAGTGTTTTATATCAGGGATTGATAAACTTTCATCAAGATGACCAGCAGAATCTTCAGTGGTATGGCTGGGCATGCGTGGGGAAGTGTACCAAGCTTTGACCAGTTACTTCTTAGAGCTATCAGTGGGTCATTTCCTGGTAGATCGCCAGAAGTTGGTGGCATGGCTGGGCGTGCCTTGAAAGACGCGAATGGCCCAGAAGCTGAAGGCAGGACTTGGCGTGTGTAGGAAGTGTACCAAGGAATGGCCAGCTGTTTCTTAAAGATATCAACAGGTCATTTCCTGGTACGACGCCAGAAGTTGGTGGCATGGCTGGGCTTGGGAGTGAACCAGGTTTTGACCGATTTTCTTTAACCAAGAGGTGACGGCATGCCTGGGCGCGTGCAGAAGAGTGTACCGAGTTCTGGCCAGTTCTTTCTTTAGATATCAATAGGCCATTTCTTGGTACAAAGCCTAAACTTGATGGCATGGCCGGTCCTGCATGCAGGTGTGTGCGGGTAGGATTGGCCCTGCATTTTTCCCTAAGTCTTCTCTCGTTTCCAGACCCGCATGCCATTCACTGCCGCAAGTGCGACATGACCGCAGAGAATGGTCTCCGTGGGGGCAAGAAGGGAGGGGCTGTCACATACTTCTGCAAGAGCCATGGCCCATCAAAGGGTTGTTTCAAGATCGACAAGGACCGCGCAGGTGAGAGGACACACACACACACCTCCTTTGTGTGCAGCCTTCCGCACCTTGACCTTAATCGTTCAGGTCTTTGCATGGCGGCAAGCCCGCTGCAAGTCCGCATCTTGCCCTTTCTTGTTTGCAGCATGGGTTCAGGGGCGCGAGAAGATGCGGAGGAGTGCAGATTCTGCCTGTCACCAATGGGGGCAGCATCAGAAGTGGGCGAGGTCATGGACGGCGACAGCAGGTGAGCGCCCAAAATCTGTCAAACGAGAACCTGGTTCAGCACTGTGCCAAGCCACCTGTCACACCGGTTGGTTGGCAAATAAGGGTGATGTTCTGACCTGTGCAACATCTGGAGAGGTTTCAAGCGGCGCCCCAAAAGCGGTGTACCAAGGAAAAGCGTATTGTAATACGTCAACTCTGTACGTGTACCAGGAAACGACCTATTACTCCTTAAGAATCCTAATGAGTGTTTCTTGGTCCACAGATGTGGCACGGTTGGTCGGTCAGATTGCACGCCCTCGACAAGTCTGAATTTGAGGACTTCTGGAGAGTTCTGGTGGTCGATCGTGACATCCCAAGAGCAGTTCTGACCCATTGAGTGCCGCCTTTTCAGAGCCCGCATGCGCTGACCGCAACGCCCACGACAGCCCCCCTGAAACGAACCCCCATGCGACCGTTAGCAAGTCAGAGTCGGAGTGCGGTCTTGGCGCAGCCCGCCTTCAGCATGCCGCGAATGACGAGGTGCAGCCCGGGCAGCTTCTCGTCCACCGCGCAGAGGGCCTGTGCGCGCTGTCAAGCGGGAGCACCAGTTTGGGGTTCAGCCCGCTGCCACTAAGAGCGTGCTGGTGAGGAGCGCATTCCAAGGTGAGCGACGACTTCTCGTTTCAAACGTACCCATGCGTGTCGGGAACTGGCACGTCTTTCCCCTCAGACATAGGACATGAAATCCTTGGCCTTTTCTCGGTACATCTTGGCAGGTATGGTAGGGGCCCCTCAAATACGGTGTGATGCTTTGCAGAGTGCGGGGGATTGTACCAAGAAAGGGTGTATTACTTCTTAAACAACAAACGAGCGTTTTCTGGTACATCCTGTAGGGTATGGCTGGGGCCCCTCAAAGATTCTGCAGGGTATGGCCGGCCCCCCAGAAACGGTGTGATGCTTTGCAAAGTGCAAGGCCGTGTACCAGGAAACGCTCTAGCACTTTCTAAGAATCTAAGGGCGTCTTTCTGGTACATCCTGAGGGGTATGGCCGGCCTTGTCCAACAAGCGCATGATCCGCGCATCCAGCGCACAATCAGTCAGTGTGTACCAAGAAACGTTGTCTTACTTTTCTGAGAATCTAATGGGCGTTTTCTAGTACATCCTGCAGGGCATGGCCGGCCCCGCCCTTCAAGCGCACGATCCGACCATCCAGCGCACAATAAGCGTGTACCAAGAACCGCTGTTTTTC